TTTTCTTATACCAAAATAGTGCATAATCTACACGTCAAGTATCACTTTATCTACTACTCTTCCTTTGTACAACTAACTTGATGCGCTATTGCTACTGCTAAAAATAAAGATTGACAGCAAAAAAACATGTGTCTGTAGAGGTATAGGCTAGGCTGCAGGCATAGGAAACATTCGGCATTCCAGATGTTTTGGACTGCACCTCCCATGATGCTTTACCAGCATTATGGGTGTAAGAGCATTATGGGGGATGTAGTCCACGACATCTGGAGTGCCAAAGTTTGCCATTCCCTAGGCTAGGGGTTACGGACTTGTTTTTATTTAGTGGCCACTTAGCATTTTGGACCTGGGCACCTCTTTGCCAGACTAGGCTGGCAAGGTCATATTAGTGCTAGGGGGACTGAATCACTAATTTTTAAATTATTCACTAAACTGGGAATTGTCAGAAAAAGATTAAGAAATTGTAAAAATTCTCTAACTAAGCTATGATTCCAGCTCAGATACTGACAATTACCCAGACAGTAACCTGATCAATTCCTGACAATTCCCTGTTCAGTGAATAACCTGTGAATGTTCTAAATGTTCTGAATGAGGTGCATTGCATTGAATGTGTTGCTGTTGCATTGGGACTGAAATGACTCCTGTTTCTCATGCTGTACTTGGATGAAGCCGGATTTTTTTATCGTTCTGGTGTCAGATCTGACACTTCTGCCCCAAGGTGACTGGACCCACTTTTTTCCTCCTTTACAACGGATTAACCTGTTACTTACCATGATACAATATTTAGAAGAATATTTGTTTTAGAACACAAGACCCTGCGTTGTGAGTAAGGAACCAATATTGCCACGCCGAGCTGAGTTCACATACATTAAAATAGCTAGGGGGCCTGTCTAAATCACAGTGAGTTCTTTACACTGCTAGATAGAGTGATAGCTCCATGTAGAGATTCACAGTTCGGGATGAAACTTACTCGGGATGGTTACTCCAACCAAGAAACAGTTTTTGGGGGGGCTGGCACCTAGAATCTCATTGTTACTGCTTAATTCTTCTCAGAATTTGATTAATTAATATCTGTTTAGATAAGAGATGGCATCTGCAGATAACCTAATTCATGAAAAAAAATATGTATTCAAAATGTTAACACTGCTGCAATTAAAGGAACCTTATAGTGTCAGAAATACAAACGTGTGTAGAAAAATGCATAGAGATGTATTGAATCAATGCATCTCCATGGAAAACGTTCAGTGTCTGCATGCAGGCGGTGGAACACTGCTTACTTTGCAGCACTGACAGAGGAAGCACTTCTAGTGGCCGTCTGAGTGACTGCTACCAGGCAGCAATGTAAACACTTGGTAGACTACATAGCCTACGTAGACTACGAGAGGCCATGTATTTGTAATATATTTTTTTTTGACCTGTTATCTCTAGAAACAAGTTGTTTCCTTGAGATAACAAGTCAGAAAAATATTAAAACACATGGCATCTCAGGGCTTCCGTTCATAAACTGACAAAGAGGGAAACGTTTTATAATGTGTCTGTAGGTGTGACCAGTAGGTGGAGCTATTCTGGTAGTGACGGTCTAATTGAAAGCCAGTCAAACTAGTTTTTCTATGTAAAAGATCAGAACATTTCATTTACATAAACTCATTTCTAAACACAATTTCAGCTAAAAAAAAAAATACCCCTCTCTGTCTCAGAGAGGGGTATTTTTTTTTTAAGCTGAAACTAAATGAAGCTAAATGAAGCAAGGTAGATTGTTAGTGTAGGACTCCCCTAAGAGGTTTGCTTTGACATGGCAGGTGAGCTTACACTCTGACGGCCATTGGAGTGATTCTAGTGTGCATGGGGATTTGGGCTAGTGGACAAGTTACTTTTTTTTCCCTTTGTATTGTATTTTTTGGTAGTGGGGGTTTGAGCGCATAACTTTTGTGTATTTGTATTTTTTTTGTATCACCCTGCCGTGTTAGTGCAGCCGCCCACCCCCAAGTGTTTCCTATTAATGGTTAATAAATGTGTAGGGGTTTAGAGATTTTACCTTTTAGCAGAGAGAAGCTAGGTGGATTGTTAGTGTAAACTCCTTCAGAGGTTTGCTTTGACGTGGTGTGATCTTTGAAATTATACCAAAAGGCCTCCAGTTATTTAAATGTGAATAGGGATTTGGGTTAAAGTTTAAATGAGTGTTAGGAATACAAATATGTGTTTTAATCTGCTGTTTCACGGAGGCGCCTCTAGTGGCTGTCCGCAGGTTAACCCTGCAAATAAAACACTTAAATAACTTTAGTGCTAATCGCATCTACAATCAATAATTTTATTTACATTTTTGGGGTTGGATATAGGGTTTTCTGTGAGAGGAAGTGGGAATTTAAGTAGCAAGTATTAGGTAGTGTCAGATGAAAGCTGGGTACCGCCAAACTTGGCTGATCAATGTATACAACCTTATCTGAGGATTTGAAAAACTAGGTCCGGGTACATGAAAATTGCAATCTATTTGAGCCAGGTTGCGATTTTCAATTTCTATATGCTGTATAAAAAAGAAGCCGTATGCAAGCCATACCATTTCTTAAAATTAAGTTACAAATTTTGCCCGATATTTTATTTACCCAATCCTCCCTCTTTGGAATCAGAGGATGTCCAGAGACTTTGTGGGAATCCCCATCACCCTGTAAAAAGTGACCCCAGAGAAAGTGTCTGTTTGCTACAAGAAAGGAGTTTTAAAGGAGTCCAGTAATCACTAGTCTGACTTCTGCATCCCACTGTTTATGTTAAGCCCAGCCATTATAAAGTGGCTACGCCAAACATCTCAAAATGCTACATTTAGGGTACTTGTTAAAATCATGCCATCGTTGGGGTAGTTTTCTTTGTTAAGGTACCATGTTCTCTTATATGCGACATAGGCCCAGAAAATCACTTTTGTAAATTTTACAAGTTGAAAAGGGCATCTAATATAGTTGGCCCTGTGTCCTACAAAACAAAACCAGAAAACACGCAGTTCATGGGGCATCGGTTTATTCATGAGATAATGTTAAATAAAAATACTGAAGATTTATTGTACTAACACATGTCAGAATTAGGAAATTTCCTGTGAAAATGTAATCAATGTGGGTAAAAAAACACAAAAGAAAATATAACCACTGAATGTGGCCAGCATTTGTGATAAAGTGGCTAGACCGGCTAGACCAAACAACTCAATTCCGCCATTTGGAATACCCTGGGTTACCTGCTTTACAAATTATATGCCATCATGATGGTCATTTTTTCCTCCCAGGGTGCCGTACTTCCTCAAAGGAGACATAAGCCCAGAAAATCATTTGTCATATAAGCTGAAAAGGGCATTAAATATATTTGGCCCTGGGAATACCTCAGAATACCTCAGAAAACCTGGGAATCCAGTACATGGGGGGAACTGTTGGTGAGACAAGCACAAATATTGAGGCTTTATTACATTAACTCATATCAGGATTATGAAATGTCCTGTGAAAATGGAATTAATGTGTGTGAAAATACACAAATAAAAGTATAACCACTAAATGGGACCTGCATTTGTGATAAAGTGACTAGACCGAGTTACCTGCTTCTGAAAATGGTATGCCATAATGGTGGAAATGTTATTACCATACTATCATACTCTCTCAAAGGCGACATAAGCCCAGAAAATCACTTTGTCGCATTTACATGGTAATGCCCCATGTTTTGCCCTGTAACACAAATATGAGTGTTCTAGAGAAGTAAAAATTAATAATAACGAATGGCCGCAACGAACCCCTTGTACTTCACATGGTACGTTCGTTCGCACACTCCTGAACTGCCAGAGCCTTGAGTGATTATAGCCCGCTCGCATAGTATGCTAGTTTGTACTCTCCCGAAATCCAAGCAGGTCATGGGAAAAATCAAGTGTTACATCGTTCGCATACCTAAACATCAGTCGAGACTTGATGAAGGTACAACTGGAATGGTTTTATTATGGCTAAATGGCCCACTTTTATACACAGACCCCCAGTATTGGGTCTCCAGCAAATACATAGTAAAACACACCCAGGCGTCTCTGTGTTCTTTGTACTTTAAACGAATTATCTCCCAGGCAGGTACAAAATATAAAACATAAAGCACCCCAAAACACACATAATATTAATAGGGACCCCCAGAAATCCTATATCCCTGGAATAGCCTAGATCTGAGCGCCGAATCGCCACCGGGGTAAAGCGGTCGGTCACTTTGGGGAGTCCTAAAACGAACAAATACCTGAACGGTTCCCCTGGCTCATTGGTAGCGATTGTTCCTCTTGTTCATGCGAACCTTTTCACCAAATGGCTGTCAGGGTTTCTCTGCTGTTTTAAACAGCAACCCTTCCTCTCTCTGTGTCGAGTGATTCAGCTGCTTTTAACGATCAGGTCCTTCATTACCGTTTCCACGGTTACTCACCTGGTTGTTAGTAACCAGCCCTGTTGCTGATCAGTGCAGCCTATTTAAGCAGCAAGTTCCAATATCTCTTTGCCCTTGCGTGGTTTCATTTTCCCATAAGATTTCATTTTTCCTGGTTCCTGACTCTGCTGCTCTCCGTTCTACTGATCCTGGCTGGTCTGACTACTCGTTTTGGTGCCTGACCACTGTTCGCTTTTTTTTTCTTTTATTGTTTTTATATTTTGTGATATTCAGTTTAATAAATTTGGAGCATCCTAGTATCTTATGGAAGCCTTCTACTCGTCATTTATGGTGACACTGCCCAGTATTATTGGAACCACGTGAGTGCAACCAGTACTATTTGCATACTGTTTGTTATATAACAGTGATACACTATATCTACACCACTACCATCTACACCACTGCCATTTACACCAGTGCCATGTACACCACTGCCATGTACACCACTACATCTACACCACTATCATCAACACCACTACCATGTACACCACTGCCATGTACACCACTATCATCAACACCACTACCATGTACACCACTGCCATGTACACCACTACATCTACACCACTATCATCAACACCACTACCATGTACACCTCTGCCATGTACACCACTACCATGTACACCACTGCCATCTACACCACTACCATCTACACCACTGCCATGTACACCACTGCCATCTACACCACTACCATCTACACCTCTGCCATGTACACCACTATCATCTACACCACTGCCATGTACACCACTGCCATGTACACCACTGCCATGTACTCCACTGCCATCTACACCACTACCATGTACACCACTGCCATGTACACCACTGCCATGTACTCCACTGCCATCTACACCACTACCATGTACACCACTGTCATCTACACCACTGCCATCTACACCACTACCATGTACACCACTGCCATCTACACCTCTGCCATGTACACCACTGCCATGTACACCACTGAGGGATACTATTCATAGAAGAGGGTTGTAGAACCCCCTAAGGATCGAAAGGTGACAAGTGATTTTCTGGATCTTTTCCTATGAGTGTATGGGATCCATTTAAATACACTTTTTGTATTTTAGAAACTATCTGCACCATTAATTCCTTTTCTTCTTATTGCAGATTCCTAAAGATTATTCATATGAGCTCCACCCACTTATGTGTGTGTGTGTGTGTAACTTTGGCCAATGCTTGTGACTAAGTGGCTACTAAAAAACACTGGGAATACCCCATTTTGAATACCCCGGGTTGTCTTCTTTTACAATGGTATGTCAAGATTGGGGTATTTCTCATTCCTGGGCTGCCGTACGGCCCAGGAAAACAATCCGGCAAACTGAAATGGGCAAGTCCCATATCTGACCCTGTAACCTTCCAAAACACCATAAAACCTGGAGGCTATCGTTGTACTTATGGAACATCACAGCATACAAATATGTGTATTTTATTGCAGTAAAATCCAACAGTATTATGACATTCAGAGTTAAAATGCCAGGCAGAACATAACAAAAAATAATAATTTCTCACACTTTTTTAGAATTTATTAATATTAAAGGGACACTATAGTCACCAGAACAACTACAGCTTATTAAATTTGCTCTGGTGAGTAGAATCATTACCTTCAGGCTTTTTGCTGTAAACACTGTCTTTTCAGAGAAATGCAGTGTTTACATTACAGCCTAGTGATAACTTCACTGGCCACTCCTTAGATGGCTGTTAGAGAGCCTTCCTGGGTCATTGCTGCCTAAAATGCATCTAAACATTCAGTGTCTCCTCCCTCTGCATGCAGACACTGAACTTTCCTCATAGAGATTCATTGATTCAATTTATCTCTATGAGGAGATGCTGATTGGCCAGAGCTGTGTTTGAATCAAGCTGGCTCTGCCTCTGATCTGCATCCTTGTCAGTCTCAGCCAATCCTATGGGGAAGCACTGTGATTGGATCAGGCCACCACTTCTGATGATGTCAGCAGACTGCTTGTTTTTTTGAGGCAAACAGCATGCAGATCTACAGCGTATGGCTTGAATACAGTAAGATTTTGATATATTTATGGAGGCATGAGGGGCCAAGGGAGGATAGATGGTGGTTTTAACACTATAGGGTCAGGAATACATGCTTGTGTTCCTGACCCTATAGTGATCCTTTAAATAATATTTCATATATATATATTTGATATGAAATGAAAGCTCTATTTGTCCTGAATAAAATGATATATAGTAAGTGTGGGTGCATTTAATATGAAAGAGGTGAATTATGGTTGAACAGACATGTAGAACAAATTCCAGGTTTTGTTTTGATCAGACAATTGCCTCCGTCCTTAAGTTGTTAAAACCCACAGAAGTTGTACTGGCTGTTTACATATAATCATTGATGGCTAAACATTGGCAGCTGTTATAGGAACTGGTTTCTCATGTTAGTGAGTTGTTGAAATGGGAATTTAATATGGTTCATGAAATGTTGCTTTAAATTCGAGGCTTCATAGGCCTCTTATAATTTAGCCTTGTCATTGCTTATTGAAGATGATAACTTTAACACGTCCCTTATCACGAGTCTTGTAGCCACCTGTATCTGTCACATCACTGCAATCACTCTTTAGTGAGTCAATAGCAAAATAGTGGTGTTATATTGCCACCTAGTGGCGAGCGCAGGTTTTACTAATCAACAGGGAACAAGTGTCCACCCCCTTCCTTTTTTGTTTGTTTGAATGTGATAAGAATTATAATTTTACGTCTAAAATGATAGCAAAGAAATTAGGACAAGGGTGGCAGAGCCTGACAGCCGCGCTGAACGATCGCACATCTTGTGGGCTTTGGGCAAACAGCTCTAAAATAGCTAAAATTGCCAGTTTCAAGTTTTACTTTTCATTGCCATTCTACCTCGATGGCAGGAGAAGATCAAGGCGGTGAACTTACTTTTGTTCCAGACAACGGCCAGTGGCAGTTCTTGGGAGCAGACGTGCAGCCTATTCATGGTGCTCACGAGGGAGTCGCCAATGCCGGCCTCCACGTGTTCCTACGTAATACTCCCGCAGTCTCTCCTATTTCTCCTCCCCACTCCCCCCATGGCGGTGAGGGATATCTCAGCACCTTCAACTTGTACTGGGGTGAGGGGTCACCAGTGGTGTACCCCCTGAAGCAAACAGCCTGCCGAGACCAGCAACAGTACCCCTATAATGGCAGACACCACGTGCCACATCGATCTTCATGGAAGCTGACTGGAGCTTTATCGAAGCTGGATAGCCTCTTCAAAACATTTTGGAAAAAAGATATGATAGAAACATTGAAATACATAAAGGGAATCAACACAGTAAAGGAGGAGACTATATTTAAAAGAAGAAAAACTACCACAACAAGAGGACATAGTCTTAAATTAGAGGGACAAAGGTTTAAAAATAATATCAGGAAGTATTACTTTACTGAGAGGGTAGTGGATGCATGGAATAGCCTTCCAGCTGAAGTGGTAGAGGTTAACACAGTAAAGGAGTTTAAGCATGCGTGGGATAGGCATAAGGCTATCCTAACTATAAGATAAGGCCAGGGACTAATGAAAGTATTTAGAAAATTGGGCAGACTAGATGGGCCGAATGGTTCTTATCTGCCGTCACATTTTATGTTTCTATATTTTTATTGCGTTATCTTGCTAAGCACTTTGTATAAAATGACTGTATTTGTTAGATTGTAAGCCGGCCGGGTATTCTGTTCCTTTTGTATCAGTACGTGTTCATTATTTATCTTTATTCCCTGTATTGTACATCGCTGTGGAATATGTTGTCGCTATATCAATACCACATAATAATAATAATAATAATTAATTAAATCAATTACCAGTTCCCAATCTGAATCTCGATCCTTTAATGGGGAACTGTCATTTTTCTAGAATTTACACCATTGAACAAAATGTTGAAAATCACCTTTAACTCTTTTTAGAATTTTTTTATTTAATATTTACAGGGTTATTTACTAAAATGAGAATTCAAAGTAAATTCTAAATTTAAGGCCATTTTGGCATTTAAGGCTATTTTGACCTTGATTTGTCCTTTTATTGTAAACCCTGTTAGCAAATGCCATCATAATTCAGATACAATTAGGGCAAACCACTCAGGTAGCACCCCATATGCAAACTTTGGTAACAGGAACATGTCGCTGGGAGGGAGGGATTGGAAAAGCTCTTAATGTTTGGTGAAGTTGCCTTTTCATCTCCTCCTCCTGAAGGACTACCCATGACAAAATATATAAAATTAAAGACACAAGCACCCCATTCATTCCAGAAGCCACGGTCCTTCACCTCTCATCCAATGCTGTGAGCGCAACATAAAAAACACTAGCAAAGCTTCTTTCAAATGCAGCCACATTTCTAGTCCCTTCTCTCCGAAACAAGGATCACCAAAGTTGATCAATTTGATGGAATCTCTTCAGGGTCATTTGGCTTAGCCTGGAATAATTTGGTTTCCCTGAACTGAGTTTTTCTAACATTCCTCCTCCATCTGACCTTTGCTCTCTTAATTTTGTTCTTGGCCCCATGGTTGCCTGGCATGGGCAGAGCTATTTGTTGAAATAAGTGAACCTCTGTATTTAATCTTTCAATATTCGTTTCTTTCAGGATTAATTATATGCACGCACACTACACCCCAATATATATACAGAGACTACACTTCAATATTTACACACTGACACTGCACCCTATTATATACACACACACTACACCCCAATATATAAACACAGACACTGCTCCCCATTATATACACACACACTACACCCCAATATACACACACTTCACCCCAATATATACACACTGACACTGCACCCTATTATATACACGCACCCTACACCCCAATATATAAACACAGACACTGCTCCCCATTATATACACACACACACTACACCCCAATATACACACACTTCACCCCAATATATACACACTGACACTGCACCCTATTATATACACGCACACTACACCCCAATATATAAACACAGACACTGCTCCCCATTATATACACTCACACACTTCACACCCCAATATACACACACTTCACCCCAATATATACACACTGACACTGCACCCTATTATATACACGCACACTACACCCCAATATATAAACACAGACACTGCTCCCCATTATATACACACACACACTACACCCCAATATACACACACTTCACCCAATATATACACAGGGCCGGTGCAATGATTTTTAGCTACACAAGCGAACATGCATTTTGCCACTCCCCTGCCCCCCACACCCACTTAAAAAAAAAAAAAAAGAATGCATATTCACCTGTGTGCCTTGTTGTAACACCCCCCTTTGAATGTCTTACCCCTTTTGTGCTCTCGTGTATTTTATTCCCCCTTCAGTGTCTTACAACCCCCTTTGTATTTATCTTACTTCCCCCCAGCCCCCTTGTGTGTCTCTTCCCTCCAGCCCCTTTCTGTGTTTCCTTCTAACCCCAACCCCTTTCTGTGTTTCCTTCTAACCCCAGCCCCATTCTGTGTCTCTTTCTTACCCAGCCCCTTTCTTTGTCTCCTTCTCCACCACAGTCCCTCTGTGTCGCTCTTTTTCCCCTCAGTCCGTTTTGTGTGTACCTCCCCTCCAGATCCCTCTGTGTGTCTTTCCTTCCAAGCCACAGGCACACATGCATTGTTTTCATGCACACAGTCATAAAAGGCACACTAAGTCATACAAACACAGACATAATCATACAGAAACATACATACATTCAGAGACATACAGGCAGAGACATACACAGATACAGAGACATGCAGGCATACAGAGACATGCAGGCATACAGAGACATACATACATACATGCATACAGAGACATACTAACTTACATACATGCATGCAGAGACATACATACATTCATACAGAGACATACATACATACATACATACATACATGCATATGGAGACATACATACATTCATACAGAGATATACATGCATACAGAGACATACATACAGAGACATACATACATGCATACAGA